ATTTAAATTTGCTTTCATTATATGTGATGATTTTATTTAATAATTATATAATTAAATTAAATAGAAATTAATTATATAATTGAATTAAATTAAATAATATATATTTTATTATAATTATATATTATAATTATAACGCATAATAATTATATATTTAATTTCAGTTTAAAAAAATTCAACTTAAACTTGGTATTTTTAATCTATACCAGAATGTTTCACTTGATTGAAAAGAATTTGATCCAATCTAAAACGATAAGTACTTTAGATTCACTCTTCAAATTCGAGTAGAAACATTCATTCGATGATTCAGAGTAGAAGAATTCATTTGATATAAGCGAAATCGAATTCGAATGACTCGGCTGTCACTGTGCTCCTCGAGTGGAATTTCACTCGAAGAAGTTCAGAGAGAGGTAGAGAGTAGAATATGAATTATCGCTGAAATTTGCGCATGGAGATTTCTTACAAAATATAGTTGCGACTTTTCTTAGGATTGTGGTGGACATGAGATTTCTCTTCTTCACGGTGTCGCTTATCCAGCTGAAGAAGAATCCAAATAACATCCTGCCTGCCCAGGGCGCGCCCGCCGCCACGCCGCCCTTCGTCAGTTGGAATCCCAATGCCTTAGTCAAGTACAACATCAAGGAGTTTTGATAGAAGCACAGCAAGAAGAGATTCCCGAAGTGGCATATAATCAGGCTAATGAATGGCACCGATGTTAATATCTTCTTCACCGGCGTCTGCTTCCATGTGGGTTTCTCGGGACGGACTGTATCCGCTTGTGAGCTGTGAAAAAAACCGTTAAGTCAATCTTCAGATTGATTTTTGGTTGCGCTAAAATATTTAATAACAAATTGGGAATTGAGTTATGAAGCTATGGAGAAGAGATTGTCTTACTTCTATCCTTGTTTTAAGAAACAAAGACTTGGGCAAACAAAGATATTCATAATTTGATCTTATATATTTTGTCTTAGGATTATTTTAAGTTTAAATGCTCCATAACCAAATGAAATAATCCATGCAATGTCTGGAAATAAATCTCTCTTGAAGAAGAGGCGTGATCTTAAATATAAGATATTATATTTAAGATCTCTCTCTTAAATATATTTAAGATATATTTAAAAAAAATAGTCTTAGAAATATTTCAAATATTAAAGAAATTTAAGAAATATTTAAGAGATATTAAAGATATTTAAGAAATATTTAAGAGATCTTAAATTAAGAGATTATATATTTAAGAGAAATATTAGTAAATATAATATATAAGATCTTACATACGAATATAACGCCCTTACACTCTAAAAAGTTATTAATTCTGTGTAACTTCTTGTTGTCTAAATTTCTCGGAGTGAAGTCTCACTCAAAATGAATGAACATTCGCTCGAAGCGAATGTAACGCATGAAGCGACAGTAAAGCTATCGCTACTCAGAATTGCAAGAGTATATACTTGACTCAAGTATAGAGCGCGGATTCTTCGTCTATAGGAAGTGAATGTTTCCATTCGAGTGAATTAGATCCCACTAGAGCACACCAAATTCGCTGTTCAATTCCGAGTGAAAATATTCACTCGACGATCCAGAGTGAAGGATCCAGTCGACATGAGTGCAGAGTCACGCGAATTCGTGTGGCTCGACTGTCGCTCTACTTGTCGAGTGGAATTTCACTCGAAGAAATTCAGAGATAAAGAGAGAGTGTATCGTGTATAATTCATGTCTTCAAGACAAATATGGACTTAAGACAAGCGAATCGTCAAGATTAGCTGGTCGATTGCTGCCTTTCGCGCTACTGTCATCTCAAGATCTTACCTCAAGATGTAATCTTTCTCCTCAGGGGTGATTCCCGGATGCTCCATAGGCGAGTCGTAGGCGACCAACGCCCACACGACGATCCACACGAACATCAGCAAGGACGGTATGTACCAGGCGGACTCCCAGTTCACCGTCTCCGCGATGGCGGCTACCATTGGATAAGTGAATATCGTGCCGAAGGTGCCACCCAGCAAGGACCAGACGAAGCGCGACTTCTCGTTCGGCGGCGCCCATTTGGCTATCATGGTGTGCGCTGCGGGGAAGACCACGCCGCCAGTGACGCCGACGATAATCCTTGAGAAGAACAGCACTCCCCAATGCAACTGCGCCAATATCGGGCTGATCAGCGATGCCACGGCGGCCACGAGCGATGTCCAGAGCACCGCCTGCCGCGGGCCATAACGCAGCGCCAGGTAGCCGCCAATGAAGTTGCCGGGCACATTGCCGTAGCTGTACGCGGCGATCAGCTGACCCCGCACCTCTGGGGTCCAGTCGAAGGGCAGGCCGCTGAACAGTTGAAAGTTCGAGCGCCGAGGTCGCGTCACTACGTCTGGTGAAGGCGACGCGCTGTCGACCTGCCGACGATGCAGCGAGTGCCTCTCTTGCAGAATTGTCAAAATATCGATTAAACATGTCTCAATACTTGATTCGAACGAATATGTTTCAGTTCAACTAACTGAGACGATTGACTCGAGCAAAAATAATCGAAGAATGCTTAATTGACGATTGATTCTAACGGATTCGATTGAAGACTATTCAATTGATGACTGATATGAGCGAAGGGGATAAAAAGTCGTTCAACAACTGAACTTAGTAAATTTAATTGAAGATCATTTAATGGACGACTGAACTCGACAAGTTTAATTAAAGAACTTTTAACTGTGACAATCAATGTAATCAAATTCAATTAAATGAAAATTATTCAAGGTTATAATTGGTTTTGTGGATAATATTAATATCCGAAGCATCCGGAGTGGAAGATGTCAATAATTGAGAAGTAAGCTAAGTAGAACCTACATTGAGAGTATAAGCGGTACTGATCATATCAATTGAATCGATTAAATGTGCTCATATCAATAATCAATAATTATTCGAACGTCTTCAAGGCGATGCAACAGGCAGTTTCGCAGTTTTCTTTTTTCTTCTAATCGGATGCATCAAATTGCAAATACTTCTACAGAGTGAAAGTACAAACGTTAATGAACGGCTGATGCCAAACAGTTGCAAGAAATCAACAAAATATTTTTATAATCGATCAGTAAATATTTTTATTGATTTCAACCGTTTTATAATCGATCAGTAAAAATTTTTATTGATTTCAACCGTTTAGCATCAGCCATTTATTAACGTTTATACTGACTTTCTAACTGTAGAAGCATTTTCAATTTGATGCATCCAATTAGAAAAAAAGAGAAAACTACGAAACAGCGTTATGTCGATATCCAGCATCGCTTTAATTGAACTGAAATAAATCATCGACCGAACGATCTTCGATTGAATTTATTGAAATCAATTGTCAATTGAACCAATTGAATTGGCTCATATTGATCGTCAGTCAAACACGGTAATTAATTGGAAAAGTAATTAATTACTCGTAATCTTGTACTCTTGCGATTCCGCTCGCTCGAGCTCGACGCGCTCGAGGACGTAGTTCTCCAAGTAGCTACCCGGGTCGAGCACGTCCAGGATGACGGAGCGCCGTTGCCGCGGCGGCGCGGCCTGCTCATTGAACGCGCACACGCCGGCCGTGAGATTCAACGGCTGTTCGTGGATCATCGCCACCGCCAGGATCGGCATCTGCAGCCGACACATGTAGCTGGTCCAGCAGGCGGTGAAGGTCATCACGCAGATCAGAATCCGCATCGGGATCCATCCTGTACGTGAAGAGTGAGTTGAGTCGAAGAGAGGCTTCTCAGCTATGCCTTGTGTCGCCGATATCGCGAATCCCGCTCGAATCAATTGACTTTCAAGTTGTGCATTGCGTCACTCTTGTTTTCAATTTTCCCACTAGCCGTTCGATCGAGATGTTTTACGAGCACGGAATCGCTCTGTCGTATTATGAAGAGTTTTAATAGCACATATTGGCTTCACACGTGTGTTTTCTAAACATATGTACGTTTTATAACCGTTTGTAAAATGTTGTGGAAACGCTCCCAGACGACACGTCCTATCTGGGAGCAAACAGCACTCCGGAACTCGAAGGAATTGTGGGATTCATCGATCGCTCTATCGTTCTTCTAATCGTAAATTCTTTAGCCGGTGAGAACTGATCGAGCATTTCTGTCGTAAAATACGGAGGTGTCAGGAGGGAGTAGTCTATTGAGAGAATGACGTTAAAGACAAGACACGTTCTTTGTAGGATGATGAAATAGAGTTTCTCTTATCTCTATAATTATCTCCTTACATATTTCCATGTTTCACCTATCGTAATTTCTTGTTTTATTTTCTCATTTTAATGGAATCTCGAAGAGAACTGATGGCTTGGTCATTTTTTTTATTTACGAACTGGTCTAAATATAACTAGTATAAATATAGCTGTACATTTGAACAGACTGAATGCAGTGAGAACTTCAATATCTTGCTATTGAAAGTTATCGGAACTGCATATATTAGAAGATAATTTCTGGAATGGAGTGTAACTTTACGTTCTATTGGAACTAATTTAAAAAAATCTCCTCCCAAGAGAGAGAAATTATCCTATTTAGAAGGAAAAGGTACGAATGTATAAAAATTGTTCTGTCTGGAATAGAAATTGATGATTGGTTTTTCTGGAAAGTGACATTATTTTTGTAGAAAGGAAAGGGAAGAAATTCGGAGAAGAACAAGAGGAAGAGAAAGATATCGTGGGGACAAGTCGATTTACTTTGAGTAACGCTCGCATCTTCGCGCATCAGGACGCAAAATGCATCGACGCGACGCTCCCGTAACACGATCGCACTTACGTAAAAGTCGCCATGTAAACGTCGCGCGGGTCAAGAGCATAGTTTCGCGTAATGCACGTATTTAGTGGCCTCAGTGAAATGTAACGTGCATACATTCGGAGAGGAAGCGAAAAACAGCTCTGTCCATTTACGACGTGACAGAGCGTTGCCATGCCGACTGGGCGATTAATTTTGTACCTGTGAGCCTTGAATTTACTCGTTTGCGCGTTCAATTCTAATTGTTTCGCGTTTACGTTCGGTTTGCCGAAACCGTTATCACGTCGCTTCTTCATGTGCGTGCAAAATAAGTCCGGGAATTACGTGGGATTATGATTTAACGCTTCTGGCGCCTCGCATTATCTATCTCTTTTTAATGACGAAGCAGTGTCGTAATGTATCTAGATATATTTATTTAATTACAGTAGATATATTTATTTAATCATAGTAGATACATTTATCTAATTACAATATTTAAGATACTTTTTATGTATCTTTATCTGTAACTAGTTAAATTTTTTACTTCAGTAACTGTACCTGTAACTAATTTTATTTTATCTTGTATGTGTATCTAAGTTTAACACTTTAGATACAGATACAAGATAAAATGAAATTAATTACAGATACAGTGATTGAAATAAAACATTTAACTAGTTACAGATAAAGATACACAAAAAGTATCTAGATATTGTAATTAAATAAATGTATCTACTGTAATTAGATAAATATATCTACTGTAATTAATAAATGTATCTAAATACACTACAACACTGGTCAGAAGCGAGAAAATGCATGCTAAAAATTCTTGCAAAATACGTTAAAATAAAAATATATATCCATAAAGTAACATTTGCAATCGATTAAACAAATTTGTAAGATATTCCGTGCACTCTCCCTTTGCTCTAACAATTAATAATTTGTCGTAAATTAACGTGATATACAATTCATCTTCTTAACCTATTTCTTCGCTTATTTCTATGTAGATTAATTTACAATAAATTATTGATTGTTAGAGCAAAAGGGGAGTGCACGGAATATCTTATAAATTTGTTTAATCGATTGCAAGTGTTACCTTATGGATGTATATTTTTATTTCAATGTATTTCGCAAGGATTTTTAGCATGCATTTTCTCGCTTCTGACGTCATTAAAAAGAGATAGACAATACCGGAGACTGCCTTAACGTTTGACCAACTGTTAATACCTTTTATCTGTTTGAGCAAGGAAGACGCGGTCTTCTTGCCGATTTCTCACGAATGATTTATACTGTCGTCGACTGACGACTTGTATTTTCGATTGCACGGTTATTTTGCGCACAAATGCCGTTCGGGGAAAATTCTGCGCACAAACTACCTTCGCGAGTCGAACCACGCGAATGAAAGAAATTTGTGTTCCGAAAGAGATTTAATAATAATAATAACTTTATTTTATATGCACATAATGCATAAGAAGTGTCTCAGTGACTAAACATGTCCCAATGATTGAATGTTGTAATTAATAATATATTTGTATCAGTAATAATATATTTGTACATTTAATTGGTACATTTAATTATATTTAAAAGAAAGTCTTTAAAATATCTTGTTAGAAGATATGCTAATTTATAATATTATTTACTGAGCATTGAATCATATTAAGTCTGCGCTATTTAGTAATTAAGACATGACGCATTTTCTAGTTCAATTATTAGTACAACTGGCGTTATCTCATTAAAGTTATAATTGATATTTATTAATTGTTTTATTTTCTGATATTTTTTATTTATTTATTGTTTTATTTTCTGATATTTTTCGGTTGCTGACAAACCATAGTTTTATAAGATAACAGGAAAAGAACAATGTAAGTCTAATTTTTGCGGCTGTTGTTTTGTAATTGTTTATTTTATTTAACAAAGACTTAATTTAAAGAGATCGGAATGCTTCGACCAGTTTTTGTGATCATCCTTAAATAAAAATTACAAAATTAAAAATAAAAGTGACGCACTGGATAACATAAAAATTATTATATGGTCAAAGAGTCAAATAGGCGATTGTTTAATTCGTTATAATTTGGAAATCAATGACTTTCCGCACTAACTCATGATGAGAAAGACATTAGAAGTTGGAAAATTCTCTTTTTTCAATTTTGTAGGTTGATCGTCATTGGTAAACGACAATACGGAAAAGTATCGCATATCAGGCCTGAGACTAAAATAACATAATTAATCATAAATGAGACATAAAGTTGAACTGTAAAATAATCTTTATCTAAATTAAATACAATTAAGTTTTAAGTTGTGTCAGTATTAGGTCAGTATTGCGTTTATGTTTCACTTTTGTTTTCAATTTTGTAATTTTCAATTGAAAATAACCATAAAACATGATCGAGACATTCCGATATTTTTAAATTAAATCTTTGTTAAAATAAACGATTTAGCGCACAGCAATTACAAAAATTAGGTTCACATCCTTTTACTTTTATCTTTTTGATTTTGATCTAAGAGCCTTTCGTTTCACTTTATCAAATTTTTATATAAACATTAGTTTTGTTAGTAATTTCATTAATTATTTATTAATAAAAATGTAAAACTAATCGTGCTTTCTTATTAGTTCATTAGGTCACTGGAATGTTTATTTTAGGTGACTATATTGTTTACATTTGAAAAACAAATTAAACAAACGCACGCAAAAGCCAAGGCATCAGCAAGAATGCTCTCCCAAGGCTTAATCTGATTAACATAAACACAAGAGAGAATCAAAGTTGAAACTGAAATTGGGACAGACAAGAGAAGAATTTATAAAATAAGAAGAAAAATCGAACACAGAAGAGTTCAGTAAACTGTGCAAATGTGCAAATACAACGAAATGTAGTCCTTTTGATCGCGCATATCTAATTTAACTGTAATTCAGTCGTATGTTCAATTAGAGGACACGATCAGCTGCGATCAACCGTCACATTTGGAACTGGTGTTTACAAGTGCCCGCCGAAATGCCACGTCGAGTAAACGGCGAGAAACGAACTTCACGAACGATCGGCGCGCGATAAGGTTGAATAAAAGCGCTGTTCAAAAGCCGCGTCAAAAGTACCGAATGTGAGAGCGAACGCACGTTTAAAAACGACGGGGAAATTCGCATTCACCTAGAACGAGCGATCGAGCGCGATAAGCGAAAATGGGTCGCCGAGTTGAGGTGCAAAAACGCAAAACGCCACGCGCTCTCCAGTGTATGTTCTTTTGTTTCAGACGAACGAACGAACGAACGAACAACGAAGTTGACTTCCTGCTCGATCCCGTTGTCAGGAAAATTCCAGGAGAATTCACCGCCCTGGACACAACGACACGACGATACGGATTTCGCAGCTGCGAATGTCACCACACGGAACCGATTGATCCGATAACGCGGCAACGAACATCGGAAAAAGAGAGAGAACTTGACTCACGTGGATAAAATAATTGCCGCAATCGCTGATACATGTTACGACGACTTTCCTAGCACGAGAATTCAACAACGCACTTGCACGCGCACCGTACGGACACGATGTCGTGGATTCGCGACATTCTCGTCGTCGAGTTTCGTATCGGCTCACGTGTCGGCGTGGGGACCGCCGTTTGGCTCTCCTTCGCCTAGACTCGAATGGGGATGACTGGTGACATTGTTCATCGTGTCGGCTTATTTATACATCTCGCTAGAAGCGGAAGAGCGAATGCTACCTGTTAAGAAAGTAGGAGAGGTATCGGCGTTTGGGTCTTTCAAGGGTTGAAGGACCTGGAAATATATTTACAGGGAAACAATAATGAGCGAGAGAGACTTTGGGTGGTCGTCGTCAAACAGCGGACAGCACGAACTTCTAAAAAGTACCTTAGAGGCGTCTAAAAGGAAAAAAGACGTCCGGTATTTTTCTTGACGCCTTTAAGGCCTTAATAATTTTAATAATCGTTACTTAAACTTGTCTCAAACGAGATATTCAGATTTGTGAATT